CATTTGTATTAACGAGGCCTAACGGTTTATTAATGAAATTAGGTTTTAAAAACTATTTCATTTAATTTCTGATCGGATAAGATTAGTTATAAGTCCAAAACGACGAGTGTTTTTGGTAATAAAACAGAAAAAGCTCCAAAACCAATAAGTAGAATAACTTTTGAAGAATAACGACAATTCAGAAAAGGCGTTGAAACGAAACCTAATTCTCTCCCTTCTCTCTCTTAGCCATAGTTTAAGACTCCGCCGCTTCTTGAGTACGGCCAACGTCCAGTGGCTTTTTGCCCCGGCGTTGTGCCTCTTTAGTTTAATTTTCGTTTCTCTTTTCTTCCTTTGTAGATCTTCTCTCGGTGGTGTTTTCAGATTTGGATTTTTTGTGGCCTTCGTTTGGGTTTTCTTGCGGGTTATTTCGATCTGTGAGGTTGTGTTCTTTGTGGAAGCGGTCTAGCATTTCAGATCTGTGTGGTTTGTGGTTCCTGCGATGAGGATGGTGTCGGATCTGTTTGATCGACGGTGAGCTTTGTCTGTAATAGTGCCATTGTTTCTTGCTCTTCCCAACCCAGACCTTGTTCTCGCTCTTGTGCTTTTTGTTGTTTTGATGCCGCCGGCTTAGCTGATGTGAGGTCTCTCGTCAGTCTTCTTCATGCCTTTGTCTTTCCGTTGTCACTTCCTTGTGTTGTTTTAGCTAGCAGTCTCTCGTTTGGATCGTCTCTGTTCTTTGTGGAGGTTTTTTGTGTGAAGGATTGTGCATCGTTCTAGGTTTTCAAAATTGTCTTCTCTTTGGTGGAGGACGTTGTGGATGATTACCATTTCGGTCTGAGTGTCGTGCTTAATTTCATGATCCTTGTTCCTCGAGATGGTTAGGTTTTTCTCCTTGTCTTTGCATTTCCGAATCGGGTGTGTTTGGATTGCTTCTTTAAGACTTTTATCTAGGCGCTCCATGACGCTTCGTCTTCGCCGCATTCGGAAGTATCTTACGAGGTTCAGTTTTGGCCTTTTCTTGCCGGGTTATGAAGTCTTGGTTTCGAGAGCTCATCTCTCATCATGATAGGAGGAGGCAGTTGTTATAAATGGGTTGGCCGTGGGCAGCATTGGTAAATCTCATTCGCAGGTGTCTCAAAAGAAAAGGTCATGTTTTGTGCTTGGGCCTTGTGGTTTCTCTTCGGGTTTAAGTTTGTTTGCCTCTATTCTTAGTTTATGGTTTCGATCTCTTTCGTTTTGGCTTTGAAATTTCTGCTTTGTATTAGTGGTTGTGTTTCCCTTGCTTAAGGCTTAGTTTCCGGAGAATTTACGTTTTCCACCGGCTTAGTTTCCGGGGACTTTTATGTTGTCTGCCGGCTTAGTTTCCCTTGTTTGGACTTTGTATTCGACTTTGGTTCCACCTCAAGTTTCAATAATAAAATTTCAGATGACAGAAAAAAAAGAATAACAAACTTTCCATCATGTACTATTCTTCAACATATGCACACTTTTGGACACATACAGATATCTTAAAGTTTTTTTGTTGATCTGGAAAGAAGTTGGATCAATACAAATTATGCAATTACCTAATACACGTAAAACTTAATTATAACATGTTTGATCAGTCTGATCTATGAAAACAAACTATTGAAATCTAATTAAAATCCGCTATACAGTAAAACCTCTATAAATTAATAATGTTGGGACCATGATATTTTATTAATTTATAGTGATATTAATTTATCTATAAATTAATAAGTATTAATTTATAGCATAAATTAATATTTATTAATTTATAGAAAGTTTTGTTTCAATTGTGAAATTTTTTTTAAAAAAAATACGAGCTAAAACAACGTGATCTAAATAAAATTAATGTTTTGGATGTTATAAATTTTTATAGTCTTAGACTTAAACATTTAATATTTACGAAGAAAAAATAATTTCTTTTGACAATGAATAACAACGATTATAGAATTCACATATACAAACGATATACATAAATTAAAATCCACAAATAGTGACATCTATTGTTGTATTTTAAAAACCTATACAACTATTAAAACAAAAATTATGCATATTCAAATTTGAAAACTTACAAAAACTTTTAGCTATTTTTATGAAAACACTAAAACTATTATATATATATATATATATATAGCAAATTTACATGATTATTAATTTAATATATTATTGGGACTATATTTTTACATAGAGATTTTAAAAAACTTATTATCTTATTATCTTATCGAATTTGGTTAATTTTTACACTGGTCCGACTCAAAACCGGCAAAATTTATTAATTTATTATGTTTATTAATTTATCGAGTATTAATTTATAGAGGTTCTACTATATTAATTTTTTGAGTCATAAAAACTCGACAAGATATTCGTATCAAAATCGTTTATTTTTTGTCCGCTACAAGTCTACAACATCTTAGCTTCTTCTTCGTCTTCTTCTTTGTCTACAACATATTTAGTTATACTTATACCTACATTACATGATCACATAGCTATGTAGTTTGACTAGTTTCCAATGGGTTAAGGCATCGGTGAGTGCATGAGAATGACGAGACGTCGTGCATGCATGGTTGTAATGGGACATGGTATGCCCTTCGCTCTTTATTATCACATATACGTAAATTTATGACATAGTTTTACATCTGATATGTAGCTGTCTAATTGCTTTTGTTGATTGATAATAATTGATATGTTCACCAACTTCTTGCTTATACTGTCCACTTGAAAATTCTAAAAAATGAAGTTATATTTACCATATAATATTTTTTTGAATTGATTTGTTAGGTATTCAAAAGTTTAAGAATCAATTACAGATTGATCACTTTTTAGTGGTATTTATGGATTTGCCATTTTGTCTAAAGTTTTATCGATTTGTCATTTTTTCACGATATAAAAATACGATTTAACATGTATTTCACCCGTTATATATGAGTTTAGTCGGTTTCATTTGTTTTTATGGTTTAACATTTATTATAAAATATGTATTTAACAAAAACAAAATCATAAATATGAACATTTTAAAATGTTCAAAATGACAAGTCCGTAAATTTTTAACAAAAATGGTAAATCTGTAAATATCATAACGAAAATGTCAAATTCCCTAATAACCTTTTTGAACAATTTGTAATTTGCCCAAGCATCTGTGGTCTAGTGGTAGACGAGAAAGTTTTGGTGAAGGGTAAAACTCCCAGATCCGAGTTCGATTCTCCCTGGAAACAAAAAACACATTTGTTTGGGAAGTCTGTCAGTTGGGTTTTGACCTAATTGGTTTACATGATAGTCAGAAATGCAGGCGGCCTAACTACCCCCTAGCATTAGTCGAAAACATTCAAAACTCAAAACAGACATTATGATGGCCTTTCTGAGAAAAGTCCGCTTTAAAATACTTCAGTGCGTTTTTATTGGCGCTGAATAATTTAACCTCAACGCAAATATCGTATCATATGGGGTAACATAACATTTTATATGTTTAAAAATACACGTGAAATCAATATCTATTTATGTAACATTACCACTAAAATTCACTTTGCAAATATATAACCTTATGTGTCACAATTAACTGTATAGTGCTTTTTTCTAAATTTATTTCATTGTTAATTAGCTCTCTAAATTTTGTCGAACCGGAATCATAATGGATGCCAACAATTTTTAGCATACGCAGATTCTCTATACGCCACCGCCACACTTAAAAATGATTTTTTTTTTTTTCTTAAAAATGAATTTATGATGACTAACAAATAAAACTGACTATTTTTCTTTGGTTTGATCAGGGTCGGTGCAAAGGGTAAGCCACCGAAGCCACCGATTAGAGCCTCAAAATTTGAGGGCTTTTTTACCTAAAAATTTGTTAAGTTTTTTTATATACAATAATTTTTGTAGGGCTTTTTAAAAATATTGTGGACTTTTAGAGACAACTATAACATTCTTTTTAATAGTAAAAATCTAATTTAAAAGAATTTTTTTTTATAGACTTTAATTTTGATTAGGGCACCCAAATTTACCGGGCCGGCACTGGGTTTGATATGTTGAGTACGTAAATCTAATTAGGATCAATAGTTTAAAGAAACTATGATTAGTTATGACTTGTGGAAATTATAACTGATTATTTATGGTAATTCGTTTTGTTTTTTTTAACCATGTTGCTCCCTTTAAATAGGATTTTTTTCTGTTCATGGCTATGGATTATCCCTTTTTCTTTTCCTAATTGTTTTATACTTTAACAAAGTGTACTTATCAAAATAAAAATGTTTTAATAGCTTTATTAAGTGTGTCGTATCATACTGCTATGATGATTAGGCTATTACTAAACCTTTATTACTTATGTACATATACGATGAATTCATATTTGGATTCCAAGTTATATTAATTTAAGATGCATTAGTATAGGAATCGTTTGTTAAATTATTAGAGCATGATTATCAAGGGTTTCTTAATGTTGGCTCTTAGTAGTATTTAAGTATTAAATTTGTAAAAGTTATAGTTAAGAGATTGTATTTTTGTTTTAAGAGTTATGTGTGTTTAATGGTAAACTCTTAACATGTGGTTCTTAGAAAAAAAATATTAATATAAAATAAAAATTTATATTTATATAAAATTTAATAATTGTTGTAAATTTAAAAAATTAAAACATACATAAGATACAATTTATAACATAAATAACATAAAGTGCTAGGTATTGTAGCAAGGGTGCAAGAAGAGTGTGGACATGAAGAAGACCCAAGGTGTTTTGGTTTAACTAAGAACGAATTTAGCTTTCTTTGTAAACAATGGTGAATACTGAATCTCACGACTAAATTTTTAATGTGTAAGCTGATCTAAGATTTCAAATATTTTTATGGTTATTACAAGATGGCTGGTTTATGATCAGCTTGTACCGGATCTGAGACCAAAGTTCATCATTGTAAGAGTTATTCTCCTTCTCTTTTAAAGATTATTGGGCATGATACAAATCGGATCACCAACTCTTCTCTTTTAAAGATTATTGAGCATGATGAACAAACCGGAGAAAGCGAGAGAGAGAATTAGTCAAGATCATTCGCTGATGAATTACATGAAACTGATGATATATTCAGAATACAAATCTAAATACAAGATAGAGAGCTAAAGTACGAGAAGCAAAATATGAGAAAACAGTACAAGAAGCAAATTACGGAAAACAGACAGAGATTCTATAGAGACACTCAAAGGGATAGGGCGATCTATTTGATGTATTGAGAGAGCCACTTGAAGCCTTCACCATATCCCCATTTTTCTAACAATGATGCACATAAACATTAGATTAGATTAGGGAAAGAATAGCAAGTACAAGAACAATTATGTTGGAATTGCAATTTTACCACAATGGCTGTTTGTCAAAGCTCTTTTATTGGTAATATTCTATTAGTTAACAGAAATCTAGATTCTCTAAGGTTTCAACAGAAAAAATTACAAGCTATCAGTTCTCAACCTTAAAATATACAAAGGAAGAAGGAAAATTCGAATCAGACAACCTTTGCTATGTATTGCGATGAGATTGCATCAAAATGATCAAACTTTGGATACATACCACAATCAAAAAGGTTTAAAGATTGAAAGCCAATTAGAACCATTTGATGTTTATCAACTAAAATCAGGAATTTTAGGCAACGAGTTGAGTTCAATTGATCTTGGAGAAACAAACACTAGCACAAAAATCACAGTTTTCTAACAAAAGTAACAAAAAATCCTATAAACATAGTGGAAGACGAAAATGGAAGCTGAGACCCATATATAGACGCAAGATCATGTATAAAAGAGATCATAAGCATCATTGACGATCAGAAAAAGTGTACCTCTCAGAAGGATTAAGATCAGAGAAGCCATTCATTGTGATGAGACCCGAAGAAACACGGATCTGCGATTGCAAAACAAGAAGAAAACAAATGGTTTTGAGAGATTTGTGAAGAAGAAACAAACAACACACAATCATGCTTCTAATTAGCCAAATTATATAACTCGGAGATCTGGTGAACTTCTCCCCGATTTCGCAGCCCAACCTCACCGGATACAACCACCGAAGACGCCGTGGACAACCGGAGTCGGTGGAGATGATGGGCTAACGGAAGACCGACGGCCGGAGTTCACTCACATCGTCGATTCCTCCGATTCATCATCGATTTCCTGACGATGGATGCTCTGTTTCGCGTTTGAGAGAGAGAGAGAGAAAGAAAGGAAAAAACATGACACGTGGATGTCTCTTAACCTTAATTTTAGCTCTTAACTAAGGAACGTCTCTTAGTATTATACATGTTTTCTCATTTATTTTTGCTCTAAGATTTAGTTAAGAATTCTTTAAAGACTCACCGTTAATGGTGCTCTTAGTGCACACATGGTAGGTTAGTTTTCCAATATTAAAGAAAGCGTATGATGTATAGTTGTATACGAGATTTATCATGCGTACAAACAAAGGGTGTAATTTGGATATTTGAAAGATCAGAAAATTATCATGCGTAGAATCCAAATGTAATCTTAAAGTCGCAATTCGGACAAAAACAAGCCAATGAAATCCAGTAAACAATAGAAATTATATAAAACGTTTGTAAAAAAGAGAATCAAATTATTGGATACTCTTGTCCATGACATTTGAGACCATGTCTCTTTCACTCTTGTCCCCTATCTTATTGATGATCATAATTAGTATATTTAATAACATCAAATCAAATATATTCTACCTTTTTTTTTCTAAAGTTGCGTCAAGGAAAGTAAAAACAACAGAAGCATTGGTAACTTAATTCCAATTTGGCGGAGATTGTGTAAGTCCCGCTACTCGTTAATTAAAGGGTTCGTGAGATTAAAATGGGTCTATATTTGTTCACATATCAATTTAATGTTGTAATGTTGACAAAAAAAAAAAACACATATCAATGAAATCACCGCCATTAGAAATCTATATAGACATAACTCCATGTTGTTTTTGATTGGTCTGTATAATTCAAGAAAACAAAATTGATAAAAAGAAAAAATAAAAAAGATGAAAATAGAAAGCATAGTTTATGAATGGGTGGATCCCATCAGGTGACATGAAAAAAAAAAAAAATTCAACTTCCCTTTGCTGTCTAAATTGAAGACAGGTTAGAAAATCTGCCTTTTGCTTTTTTAATTTTCAACTCATCTTCAATAATTTTCTCTGGCGCTTCTTGATTTCAAAGTTGTATTTAATTTAGTAATTAACTAAATCAAAAATAAACTATAATCAAGAGCTGACCAAATCTAATTAGTAATACAAAACTCACAATTTACTACTAGTAAAACACTAATAAGAGTCTATAACATATCACCAAAACCAAGTAATTTATTATTATAATCATCTTGAAATTATACGATTACTGCTCAAGCGAGTTGTTTCGTAAACCGGAAGCTCTTCTCGATACCTATCGATCCCTATCGCCGACAAATTATCCAACTCGAACAAATCAGAGCTTGTGCAACTCAACGCATCATCGTTGTCGTCGTCTTCGCCGGAGATTTCAACGACGTCTTTATTCTTCTTCTGATAAGTTCTCAGAAGTTCTTTAGCTGCTTCTATTACGCGACGATTCTCTTCCATGACTCTGATCTCTAGAGTATCAAAGTTTTGATGATGATGACGAGTGGATTCATATTCACGTTCGTTGTTTCCGTACAATTTGTTCTTGTTGTACTTGGAGGAGGAGTCTTCGTCGAAGATGACGTTAACGGGACAAAACCGTACGGATCTTTTCGATTTTTCGCTAGACGATGGCGTTTTGCTCAAGCAAGATCTGGAGAATGATGATGCGGAGGAGCATGTGGTGGTTGATGACGCTGTGGCGGCGACGGTGGCAGAAGTGACGGTGGTGTTGATTTTGTTAAGCTTTTTAGTGTTCCCGGCGCCGGTGAATATGGAGTTAAGGAAAGTAGCGAGACGACCACCGGGAGAGATCGGTTGTTTAACTTTCTTCAAATCGCTATAAATCTTCAAAGCTTTAGATTTCGTTTTGAGAAAGCTTCCATGTTCTTGTTTACTGTTAAGTCGGTGGTTCTGTGGAGATCGTTCGAATCTCTCGACGGTGGTTCGAATCGGTTTAGGATGAGAAATCGCCGGCGAGGATTTTGATCGTCTGTAGAAAGAATCAGACTCTGAAGAAGAGAAACCGCTTGAGTCAGATGAGCTAGAGCTCGAATGTTTAAAGAAAACAGGTTCTATGGTTTTAATAAGATTCTTGGATCTGTTGAAATCGTTGGCGGTTCCGCGACGGTTAGCAGAAACGCGAGTCTCGTCACCGCGGTTCTGTTTGTTTTTCCTCATGGAGAGGTCGGAGGAGGAGTTGGTAGAGGAATCGTCGATGGAGCGGTAGATTTGGTCGAGGAGAGAGGAGGAGAAAGAAGGATGACGGTGGTCACGGCGGTTACGGAGACTGTGGTGGTCTATTGGTTTGTTATAGTTATCCCAAGGATCCATGGGAAGAAGAAGGAAGTGATGATTCTTTATAGAGGAAGAAGGGAATGATAATGTTGGGAATGTGGTGAAGAAGATGATGAGAATGATGAAGAGAGAGAGAAGAGGCACGCTTTGTTGTTTCTTCTGATTGCTTTGCTTTGAGAGAGATGAGAGTAGTGTGTGTGTATGAGGAAGAAGAAGAAGAAGAAGGATGAAGAAAGTGAAGGGGTCGTTGTCAGCCAAATAGTATTCGTTGCCACGTGTTATTTTATTTTCTTTTAGTTAAAATATTTAGGTGAAGGAATTTGGGTGCCAGACTAGAATTATAAAGTTATTGGCAACACTATTTTTTTTTTTTTTTATGTTCTGTCAGAACTCAGAACTATGTTTAATTCTTTAATTTGCTCAATATATGTAGCTTTGTGGGAAAATAATTTACTTTCCACATTTTTGTTTCCAGAAAAGTCAAAAGCACAAAAATAAAACATGTGCAATTTTAAGTAATTTTTAATTTTTTAGGTATACAGAAAAAAAAGATGTTGACGAAAAAATGTTTAATTAAGCGAAAAATGTTAAGAAAGTGTTAATATATACTCTCTCCGTTTCATAAAGAGTGTCGTTTTAAGGTTTTATTTTTGCTTCACAAAGAGTGTCGTTTTAGGTTTTCAATGCAAAATTTAATGATTTTTTATGTTTTATGACTATTAGTATTCTGCAGATTATTTTACTATTCGGCAGATTATGTTTAGGTATATAGTTAATGATGTTTTTGTTTAGAAAAAATAAAAAATTTAATGTTTTCTTAATCTGTGTGCAAAACTCTAAAATGACACTCTTTGTAAAACAGAGGGAGTATATATAAGCGAGAAATGTTAAGAAAGTGTTAACTAAGCGAGAAATTTTTTCGTGTTTTCTTGTATTTTTCTAATTAAAAAATGTTCATATTTATCACTACGTATTTCTCTTTTTTGTGTGTACAACTCACGAATAAATTAAGAAATTTAGATCCAAGTTAAGTAAGTAACACTAGTATAAACAACTAGTAATTACTTAAAAAATAAAATACAACTAGTTATTTAACTTGTTATAACTTAGTTATAGTTATAGTTTGGTTGCTTCCTATTTAAAAACATAATGACTTAATGTTTCTCTATTTTTGTAAGAGAAAAAAATCTTAATGGATGTTTATGTCTCTTGACAAGTCATTCTTTTTAAAATCAAGTAATCAACAAAGAACCAAACTAAACAAAAGTTGTACGTGTAATTTAATAACAAGAAAGAAACATAATTAAATTGTTGATTCATAACAGCAAATCCAATATTGATACTTGGGTCCATTACAGCTTTTCCTTTCTTAAATTTATATATTCGTACGTACTGTTGATTATTAAATACTGGAATTAGTAATTACACAACATTTACGAGTAATTCGATACATATTTGTAAAACTCAACGACATCAAAGTTACCATTGACATTACTTTTAAGAATTTTGGATTTCTGAACAAATTATATTTAGTCCTCGAACCTCTTTTCTGCTACAATTTTTTTCATGATATTGTATAGTAGTTGAAAGTTTGAAGTTAGCTCCAATAAACTATATGATTACATTACACATTTCAAAAAAGAATTGATGTACATTTTTTAAAAAAAGAAGTAGAAACTCTAGTATGTATTGCAGGCTGTGAATAATGTAGAAAATTGTAGGCTGTCTTGGATACAATCAAAACGGAAGCAATTTGTCAAACTTTGAAGAAAAAAGCTAGGGCAAAGGGACAAAAAAGTAAGAAAGAATAATTTAGAAACCCTAGGACTATTATAGATATAGGATTTGCTTTAAGATTTTACATAAGTGGGCAACGAAAAAATGTAAATGCTGTGATGTGAAACAAAAATGGGTAAAAGAAAGACTTTAGACTTTAGAGAATGAATAGTCAAGCAATGCGGCTAAGAGGCTCAATCACATAATTTGACCTAACACCAACACCCAAACACTTCTCATGAACAGAAATTATGTTGCAACCCACTACATTGCTACACCGTTTTATTGCAATGTTTACTTTTTTAAAAGTTCATTATTTATTATATTAATGTTGTCATTTAATATACATTTTTGTTTAGTACTACTGAAATAGATACTAAATTGACCATGAACACCGATTTTATTAAATAGTCCGGACATAAACATGATGAATCTAAACTAATCTATAAAATTTTGCAAAGAACTTGATATTTTGTCATTATCAATCGTTAACTATAGTCGAATTCACAGTGAAAAGACTCGAATATTAATTTGGTAATATTTCAACTACTTAACCACCATGGTTTAATTTGATATATATACATATTCATAATCTTGGATAATCAATTTTGCTGGATATTTTCAATTGACGGATATGCCAATGGTTTTTTTCTTATACAAGGGACTCCTAGTAACTTATTTTTAGACTGAAATGACTCAATTTCGAATAGTTGATTGGTATAGTTTATATGATTATATCTCTATTTATTCTTAAAAAGGCGAGACAAAAAGTTAATTATTAGGTTACACGTTGTTTTTTTTTTTAAGCTTGCAAATATTATTACAAAATGAATGTTAAGAGATTAATTACAAAAACGCATTATCTAAGATAGAATAACCATGTAAAAAAAAAAAAACATGGTTACACTCACGGGCGGACCCATGATTTATTTTTACCTGGGTCATAGATATTTTTTAACATGTAAAAGAAGAAAAATTACACAAAAGTGTAAGAAGGTAGCTTCGAACTCGTTCTAAGGGAGTGTCAATAACGTGGAATTTGCCAACTGAGCTAGTATCACTTTAAGTATTCTTATGCATAAAATTTTATTTGTAGATTTAACCTAGGTCAACTGACCCACCTTTTTCCTTAGTGGGTCCGCCACTGGTTACACTAACAAAATGGAAAATAGTTCAGTTACCGTATAAACTTTAAATGTATCTAGTCAAATAGTAACATATAGCTTAATACACTATATAATATACTCGATCATATATATGACTATGTGAGTATTCAAAATTTTATCAACGATCGTAAAATTCAAAATTGATTCTGTAGAAATTTACAAATACAACAAATTATGAGCCATCCACTTGATTGTCTTCACTGCTAAAATCTCTATCTTGTCTTTTATTTCCGCGAAAGTAATTATTAATTTTCACCACATGAACATGCTTTAAAATCATTCTATGTTCCCCAATTTCTTTTCACCTTTATTATCGTTCCCTTTTCATATGTTATTCAGCTTATTCTCTTAAACAAGCCATAATTACTCTTAACGGAGACTAATTGATAATTACTGAATGTACCACATTAACTCGTACTTGATATATGGAGAGCTCCACGAGTCTCTGTTAAAGAGTAATTATGGCTCATTTTTAGGACAAGTATAAGGAAGTCTATGTCAATCTAACGTGAATTTTTATCACTTATGCCACTTTTTGGGAAAAAATGATCTGGCATGCCATTGAATAATCTGCATGTCACCGATATTGTGAACTGACGAATTTACCCTTAATGAAAGAAGGAAAAAAAATCAAAAAAGAAATGAAAAACGTTTATCTCTCTAATCTCTCTCTCTCTCGTCCTACTCCCTCTCCTCTCTCTCTCCTCCAAACCCGACAATCCTCCGCCACAGCTCCGAACTCCACAGCTCCCGCCGATCTGCAAGTACGGCTGAAGAGAGTCGTCGTCCTTTTCGAAATCGGTTAGTTTTTTCTCATAAATCCTCTTGACATTGCTGCATTGATAGAATTTTAGGTAATTTATGAGTATTTTGGAATTCTTTAAAATTAGGGATTTGAAAGAGAATTGGGTTTTTTTCGATTAATCGAGAGAATCGATAGCATATTGAGGAATGTTGGCATTTGCATTGGTTATTAAACGAATGTAGCTCGTCCATTGTTGAATCGAGTCACATTTTATGTAGAATCGAGTCAGATCTCAGTCAACTGGGACAACTATGAAAATTGGTTCAACTTTTATTATGTAGGCCAACTAGTACAACTGATAGTCTGTAGGCCAACTGGTACAACTAAGTTTAATTATTCAACTGGTACAACTGATGGTCTGTAATCAACCTGGTACAACTAAGTTTAATTATTCAACTGGTACAACTGATAGTATTTAGGCCAACTGGTACAACTGATAGTAATTGGTACAACTGGTACAACTAGTATAACAGTGACAAATAGTGTATGTGCAGTTTTTAATTGTTGTATTTTTAGGATAGTACCCTCCTTAGTCAATTGGTACAACTGATAATATTTAGACCAACCGGTACAACTGATAGTATGTATGCCAACTGGTACAACTAGTATAACTGTGAGAAATGGTGTATGTGCTGTTTTTAATTGTTGTATTTTCAGGATAGTAGTCCATAGTCAACTGGTTCAACTGTTAGTATGTAGGCCAACTGGTTCAACTGGTAGAATGTAGGCCAACTGATACAACTGATAGTATGTAGGCCAACCGGTACAACTAGTATAACTGTGAAAAATGGTGTAGATTTGTGCTGTTTTTAATTGTTGTATTTTCAGGATAGTACCCTCCATAGTCAACTGGTACAACTGTTAGAGTATAGGCCTAGCTGGTAAAACCGATAGTATGTAGGCCAACAGGTACAACTAGTATAACTGTAACAAATTGTGTTTGTAATTATGTTTTAAATTGTTGTAATTTTAGGAGGCGATGAAGAAGAAGAGCCATACTAACGTACATTTTTACTATGGAGGGTACTATTCAGAAGGGAATGAGTGGATTTATAAAAATTCACTATACGCTATATCGTTTAAGACGGCATGTCTAGAGAAGATAACTTATTCGGTGCTATTAGATAAGATCACTACGAAGGTTGGCCAGAATGGAGTCCCTGGGAATCTGAAACTGAGTTACAATCTATCTAAAGCTCGGAGAGAGACATATATTGTAGATGATGAGGACGTATACATTTTTTTAACAGAATGTGATGAAGAGGGTCGTATTCCAGTTTTGCATGTGGAGCTATTAAGTGACAATAACCAGAGGGTGGAAGTGTTAGTACCAGAGCGTCGAAGTTCAGTTGGTGTGAATTATGTAGAGCTAGTGAATGTGAATGAAGTTTTGGAGAATGATGTGAATGAAGTTTTGGAGAATGATGTGAATGAAGTTTTGGAGAATGATGTGAATGAAGTTTTGGTGAATGATGTGAATGATGAGAATGAAGTTTTGGTGAATGATGTGAATGAAGTTTTGGTGAATGAAGATATGGTGAATGAAGTTATGGTGAATGAAGTGTGTCAGAATGTGACAGGTATGGAAGTTGTGGCTGTGGAAAGGTCGATGGATAACCATTTGGATGAAGATGTGGATGGTATTTTTTATTTTGATGATATTCCAGCTATTCCAAATCGTGTAAAAGGTACTCCAAAGAATATAGAATGGGAAGATGGTACGGGTATAGAACTTTATCAAGAATTTTTTTCTAAGGAAGCACTGTGGGAATTGGTAAACAAAGCTGCAAAACAAGAAGTTTATGGGGTTTTAACAGTTAAGTCTGACCCGTTGAGACTTATGTTACGATGCAAACAATATTCTCAAGGGTGTAAATGGTATTTACGAGTTGCGAGAACAAAGCAATCAGATTATTGGAGTGTTAGAGTGCATAGAAAGATCCATACATGCTCGCGGTCTGTTGAGTCTACAAGCAATAGTGTACAGAGAGGAACACCACGATTAATAGCAGCTGTTTTACATGCTGACTTTTCAGGTAATCTACAGACCCCAAATCCAAAAAGCATCATGTCTATTGTGACAGGAAGACTTGGTGTGCATTGTTCATACTCTACTGCATTAAGAGGGAAAATGCAGCATGTTAGTGAAGTGAGAGGTGGACCAGAAAAAAGCTACAAGATGTTGTTTTCTTATCTCTACATGTTAGAGATGGTAAATAGAGGGACTGTAACAAGTGTGGAGTTGGAAGAGAAGAAGTTCAAGTACCTATTCATCGCTTTGGGAGCTAGCATTGAAGGTTTCAGGGCAATGAGGAAAGTGATAATTGTGGATGCAACTCATCTCAAAACTGTATATGGTGGGATGTTGGTTATTGCAACAGCTCAAGATCCTAATCATCACCATTATCCTCTTGCATTTGGTGTAATTGATGCAGAGAAGGATGTTAGCTGGATTTGGTTTTTCCAGAAGCTGAAAACTGTATATCCAAAAGTTCCTGATCTGGTGTTTATTAGTGACAGGCATCAAAGCATCAAGAAGGCTGTCATGACGGTGTACCCGAATGCGCATCATGTACACTGTATATGGCATTTGTCTCAAAATCTAAGACTCCGTGCGAAGACTGATAAGGATGGAGCTGCGAAGAAGTTCTTGGAGTGCGCTCATGCTTATACTGAGAGTGAGTTCAATAGAGAATATGGTATTTTTAGGAGTCGGTGGTCTAATGCTGCTGACTATCTAGATAAAGCCATAGAGAGAGAGAGCAGTGGTCTAGGTACCATTTCCAAGGAGACAAGTACAACATAGACACTAGCAATGCTGCGGAGTCTATGAACGCTGTGTTTAAGAAAGCGAGGAAGTATCACCTCTTACCTATGATTGATGCCATGGTTGAGAAGTTCTCTGAATGGTTTAACAACCATAGGCAAGATTCAGGTAATGCATCGAGCACATCACAGGTTGTGCCTTTTGTGGAGAAAATCTTGCATGCTCGATGTCCAGTTGCTGCGAAGTTAAAAGTTGTTGAGCTTAACAGTTATAGACAAGAATACAACGTCATTGATGGGATGTCGGTCAGCTTTTTGGTGGATTTGAAAATGAAAACTTGTTCTTGCAAGACATTTGATATAGACAAGTACCCGTGTGTCCATGCCATTGTCGCAGCAAGGTTCCTAGCCCGCAAGGAAGGGAGAAATGCACATGTAAGCATATATGGACTTTGCTCCGTCTTTTATTTGATTGATACTTGGGCATTGGCATATTACAGGACGTTGTTTGTAGTGCCACATGAGTCAGAATGGAATATTCCCGAGTCAGTTAAAGAGTTGGAGGCTGAGCCGCCGGATTACACTCCAAAAAAAGGACGCAATCAAGATAAACGGTTTCTATCTGTTGGAGAAAAACGGAGAAAGAGTAACAAAGCTGTTCCAGGAATTAACTTGGAGAGATGGCTACAGCCCGAGGATCCAGAAGCATCTTGATTAATTCCCTGGTTCAACCGGTAAAACTTCTTTACCAATACGGTTCAACTGGAACAACTGGACTATTTTGGTTCAACTGGAACAACTGTGTAACCATTTGGGTTCAACCGGAATAACTTAAACAACTTTGTACTTGTATTTTTATTTGTAAGACTAATATCGCTTTGTAATATATGGATTATTATTTATAAGTTTGTAATATAAACTATTTTATTTCTTTACAATATTAGCAAGAATGGTTTCTGGGTTCAACCGATACAACTGGAAACAACTAAAACTACAAAAAAAATACAAAATTACATAAATTAAACCATAATAAGTGATTAAAACATTTTTAAACTCTGAAAGTACATTTAATACTTTTAATATATGATATGTAACATTATCAATAATTAATATGAGCAAAAACCAAAATTACACAAATCACTCTTTAGGTAACAAGGAACAATTAGTTCAAGATCATCTATAAAGATGGAAGAAGTATGGAAACTATGTTTTCTGACAAATTATTCTATGAAAACTTCTTAAACACCAATATAATGTGGAAATTGATGTGAACAACTAGATATCTATGGTATTTTTTAAGGTTCAACTACAAAATTACAAATTTAGAAATAGTTCAACTGTGAGGAAATTAGGACAACTGAACATCTAAAGACAACTATGTAGAAAATCTATTTATCGGGGGTCCCACAGAAATGTGTTCACACTAGTCTTTGACTAGTTTTTGACTCAAACCGGTCCCACAGAAATGTGTTCACACTAGTCTTCTCATCTAATAAGGAGAGTACTCTCTCTCTCTCTCACATCTCGACTCCGATTCTTCTTCTTCTTCTTTTCTCTCTTCTTCTTCTCTCTTCTTCACGAGACCACTAAAAATTAGGGTTTTCAGATTTCTTCAAATTTTGCGAAATCTGGGTACTTCTCTCACATATCTTCTTCTCTCTTCTTCTTCTGTTATTGAAAACGAGAAACCCAAAAATTAGGGTTTTCAGATCTATGCTCCTTCTTCCTTCTCTCGCCGTTATAAGGTATGGCAATTCTCTTAGACTACTTCAATTTAATAGATCTGCTTTCTACTAATTCGGATTTACTAAGATTTAATTGATTTATGTTTGATTGAATGGTCAGATCTACTCATCTTCTAAACCGTAGATATGCCTTATAGTTACTCCCAACCCTCCACATCCGTAGCAAGCATCAACAGTGGAGAATGTAATGCAGATGCCAATTATGGTGTTCCCGAGAGGTGTTTCTGTGGTGAGATGGTCAAACTTGAGCGATGTCTAACAGGACAGCGCCAAGGAGAGCGCGTATACAGATGCCCAGTGCTTAAGGTATGGTTTAGTTGCAATTCTGGAACAACTAAGTATAACTTGTTGGTTTTAACTTTTTATATTCTTCCTAGGATGGAGACGAATATAAGGATAATCGAGATCACCTAGTTCAGTGGTGGGATTGGGCGGTAACTGAGGAGCTGTCCAAGATACACCATCTATTTGACAGACATAAAGATGACGTGTTAACCTCTCTTGAATATGGGAGGGGTGGAAATCCTGCATTGGAGTCGATCCGGGAAACTCTTCGTCTTATGCGTGAAGAAATTGATGACCTTAAAGAGAGGTTAGCCACAAAAGAAGTCGAGATTGCGAGGCTTAGGGGGTTACTTTCAAGGTGGTAATATTGTATGATTACCACCTACTCTTTGTAATATTTGAATTTGTATTTTGGATATGGAATTGTGTTTTCATGAAGTATTATTAGTAGTTGTACCTGCAGTAATGGTAGTTGTACTTGGTTCAACCGGTACAACTCCGACTTATATGTACTCACTAAGTATTTTTAATAGTTGTTGTCCCTGGATCAACTGGTCCAACTAAAATTTAAATATATTGTATTTAAATATATTGTATTTAGTAGTTGTCCCTGGTTCAACTGGTCTAACTAAAATTTAAATATATTGTATTTAGTAGTTGTCCCTGGTTGTCCACATAGTTGTCTCTGGATTATTAGTAGTTGTCCCTGTATTGTTAGTAGTTGTCCCTGTTGTCCATCGTTCTTAATAGTAGTTGTCCCTGTATTGTTAGTAGTTGTCCCTGTTGTCCCTGGTTCATCACATAGTTGTCCCAGGATTACTAGTAGTTGTTCCTGTTGTCCTACTTGTGTTAATAGTTGTCCCACGTTTGTTAGTAGTTGGACCAGATGCATAATTTTTTAAAATATAATTTCTGGATCATCCTAAACCCCAAATACAAAAAATGCACCTAAACCAAAACACAACCAAAAGATAGTACAATGTTTTGAATCCTAATAAAAGATAACCGCAAAATACTCAGAAAATATAAGTTTTGTCCTACACAAAAGCAATTACTCATAAAGAGTGATCTCTCATAAAGATCACCTATTTCTTCTGCCGCTTCTTCCCCTTCCCCTTCCCCTCTGCTGTAAACTCTTCAGCCTGAAACCTGGAAGCCTTCCTTTGTCTCTTTTTCCCGGTCTGGATTGTAGGGCCACTATGCTTCGGCCTCACTGCTTTCTTCTTCTTGTTCTCCTTCTCTTTCCTAGCCAGCTGCTCCTGATCACCTTCATCACCTACACAACTCCAATGTTAGAACATGTATGTTACAATAAAAACTACAAAAATGTAAACTCACTCAATTCTTGAATCTGGATTGGCTTAGGGTCTGTGAAACCACTGTAAAGGACCAAAGCCTTTGTCGGACTCGCTATTGGTTGATTAGCAGTTGGTGTACAATAGGTTGGCACAAAATCACTTGAAGTCCCTGGATGATACTCATTGTACCGCTCTTTCTCTAGCTGGACTGACACATAACCCTCTAAGTCTTTCACTCTCCCATCCAGCATACTCACTTTGCTATCCATCTCAGACAACTTCTCCATGATCTTCGCAAATCTTTTGTCCACAGCTGACTGTAATGAGAGGATATCACCAAGCCTCTCAGGGACTTCAGCATCACTTTCTTTAACATCACCAAGCCTCTCAGCCACTTTAGAGACAACAACACCAAAACCCCGAGCCTGCAAGTCCATCTGGTATAGACTTTTCCACCAGATTTTCTTCTTCTTTCTGATCAGTTGCTCTCTCCAACCTTCAACAACTGGATCAATAAATCCCATCCCTTCATCAACATCTTTCTCAACAAGGCCAGACAACATCTCTTTCTCATCCATATCAGGTTCCAAGATGCTTGAGATATCCTGTCAAATACACATAGCATCAATCTCAATAAATATGCATACTAAGAGAAGTAAAGGCACCAAAAGCTAACCTTAATTTCACCAAGGGCTTGGTTTATTTCATCCAAGGTAAAGCCCTTCATGCAACTGTCAGTGAATTTAGATTTGCACATTCTTGGACAGTCATTAGCTGCGGGAACAGCTTCTCTGAATCGCCTTCCAAGCTGTGGTATGCACTCAAATGCAAAAATCTACACATTCACAATAACACAGTTTTACTACTATAACTTAAACACTCTAACTCATTACAATATTCACAAGTTTTTACCTCAAGAGGAGTGATGAATCCAAAAAAGCTGCTCTGTGCTTTTGGTTTCACCTCACCTTTCATGTTTTTCATCATTCTCCGGATCTCTGTCATACATTGCTCAAAAGAATACCTTCCCCACGGGAATATCTCACAAGCATGAACATCATCAACAATCCTTAACAGGAATTGCTCTATGTTCCCATCACCCTTAGAATCAGCCTTCACAACCGCACATAAAAACAACAAAATAATCAACTTCTTCCTATCCAAACACTTCTCACTCTTAATAGCTGCCAACTTCTTTTCTACATCTTTGATTTTGATTAGGTCTGTCCTCCCAAACATCCTTCAGACAAACCTCAAACTACCCTTCTTCTCATGATTCTTTGGGTACTCATGGCAGTCCAACCCGGTCAACAAAGCATGCTCTTTCAAGGAGTACCTTATAGGCACTCTATTCACAACAAACCAACACTCATTCTCCATACCCGTGCGAGCAGTGCGAAGCATAAGCATCCACATGCCTTGAATCATGTGATTTGGTTCCTTAGGCATGTGGAATATATGCTTAAACTGAGCATGATTCCTAAACCAACTAACTTCCTCATCAAATGCCTCTATCATGGCCACTGTTTGGCCAACTTTACACCTACTACCTACCTTACATACCTTGTTGTACTCAGTTGGACTAAAGTACATGCTCTCTGGCGGCAGTGGTTGGGATTCCTCATCATCATCATCCTCATCTGTATCAGCTGCAACATCATTAACCCTCTCCTCTTCCTCTTCCTCAATAGCAATATCAACTATATTCTGCATATTCAAACACATACAACTGAGTACAACTATGTCTGTTGCTTACCTTTAACACCATATACAACAAATACAAACTGTTACTTACCTTAACAACACCAGCAGAATCTTCCTCCTCATTATCACCACTCCTTTCTCTACCCTCAGCATCACCAACTCTCTCTTCTTCCTCGTTATCACAACTCTGACCATCAATTGACAACTCACGGACTTCTTTTTCTTTCTCCTTTGACTCACTGACTTCTTTATCAGACTCACGAACGTCTTCATTTGACTCACGGACTGAGTCTTTCCCTTCTCTATCAGACAATTCCAGAACCGAAGCATCCACTCTTTGAACAAATACAGCAACAGCGGAATCCGTCGGATCTTCTGTCGGAACAGAAGCATCAAGCGGAGCTTTTGTTGGAACAGCGACATCCGTCGTCGAAGCTTCTCGAGACCTTTCTGTTGACTCATATTCCCTACCTCCCTCTATCACACGAGCCATATACGGAGGAGACGAAGACACGCGGAGGAAACGAATACGAACGGAGGCGGCGGAGACGAAAAGACAAATGAATGCGGAGGAGACGATTGACGGAGTACCACGGACGACGGCCGAAGTTCTGAGGCTAGAAGAAGACGACGGAGATGACGAGACGCCGGAAAACAAGCGACGGAGCGGAGAAGAGAGATTCGAGAGAGAAACGAATCAAATTCACGGGAAACGGGTGAAATTTTTCTGAAATTTTACAGTTTTCGATTTACACTTAGGGAAATTAGGGTAAATTTGGAGAAATTTTATAGGCCGGGTTATTTTCAAGTGGGCTGGGTTCGGGTTTATTAGGTTGGGTCGTAGTTTTTTTATTTTCGTCTGGGTTTTTGGTAAATTACTCAATTTTACGATTTAAAAGAAATTCAATAATAAAAAGAAAACATAACAGTGGCATGAGTGATTAACAATTTTCCTTTTGTGGCACAAGAGGTGAACTCTCATCTAACGTGTATTTTATTAACCAGTCTTTCGCATGTGATTACACCTAAAGGTATTTAAATACAGTTAGCTAACAGAAATACCTTTAGCCGCAATCTCTTTTGTAAATATATAGTATCTCCGACCCCAATCTTTAATATAATTATTTTTAAACTAATGAAATAATAATAATACTTATGAATTATGATACACCTTGCATGCGTTACGCGTATTCGTACTGTTTTGCTTATAAAAATAAGTAAATTATTATACAAATTTTATCGACAATTTGTAATTACTTTTTTTCTTTTCTGGTTGAGATAACTTTTTAGATTAAAATAAGTGGAAAATGAAACAATATTAATTAATGGTTAATGAAACTATGAAAGCATGTTCAAAAAGTTAAATGGTGCTCATTTGCTAAATGATTACTCTCGTGGGATAAGTATTAAGATTAGTTTTTTTTTTTTTTTTTTCGTTTTTCATTGGGGTTGATAAAAATTTGAAGATATCGTTTACAAGTCATCAGTTGATAGCCTTATGTTTTAAGTGATACAGTATTTGCAAATAACATAATCAATAAGACCATATTTATAAGAATTTTAGAATTAATGATTCAATAACATGAGATATTGTTTACGAGTCGTCCTGTTGGTCTAGGTCAGTGATCGATTCCCCCAGTCGCAGAATTGCTCAGCTTTATCTCTTTGGCCATATGGGTATGAGCCCATTATTTACGGCCCATTTGAAAACTTTGAGGAGACTCTATCCGTATGTTGGAGATACAATCCAAGTCCCACATCGAAAGTTTGATGGGACAACCAATAATATATAAAGGGTTAGGGCCAATCCACTAATTGCCAATTGGTTTTTAGTTGGAAGCCCAGAATTAGCCCAAATTTAACATGGTATCAGAGCCCAAGGTTCAAATTCTGGTGGACCTAGAAAAGTGGATACGGACATACCTCAAACCCGAGTAATGGAGGTCCGAGAAAGGGGCTTATTATCGATCCGAGTGAGGGATCGATGAGGCGTGTTAGATCCATATGGTCCTTGGATTGAAGGAGAGATTGTTGGAGATACAATCCAAGTCCCACATCGGAAGTTTGATGGGACAACCAATAATATATAAAGGGTTAGGGCCAATCCACTAATTGCCAATTGGTTTTTAGTTGGAAGCCCAGAATTAGCCCAAATTTAACACTGTAGAATACCCTCTCTCCACTCTCCAGGGATTAGTCCTCGACCCCTCCATAGGTCTAGAGATTTACCCTGAGTTAACAAAAATAAAATAAATAAATAAATTTTTTTAAAAAATAACATGAGATATTTTATTGGGGCTTTTGCAAAAATGCCACTTTTTCAATGCCACTTTTCAAAAATACCCCTTTTTAAAACCTTATAAAAAATGCTCTTAAAAATATAAAACTTATCCAAATATGTATGTAATATTATTAAAACATACACAAACTACATTTTTATGTATCTAAAATCTTATAAATACTTTATAAATACCTTATAAATGCATTTTAAATACCTTTAAAAACCTTTAAAATATCTTGTAAAACCTTTGAAAAACCTTAAAACTCCTTTAAAATAACTTTTAAAACCTTTAAAACACCTTATAAAACCTTATAAATACTTGGATCGAGTCTTCAAGTAGTAGTTACAATCCATAAGTACCTTATAAACCTAATAAAACTTTATAAAAATTTCAGATTTAAAAAGGGGCATTTTTGAAAATGGACATATAAAAGGGGTATTTTTGAAAAAAGGCACACCAAAAGGGGTATTTTTAACAATTTCCTTATTTTTTTTTTATTTGAAGATAGATAATTCCAAATGTTTGATTGAATTTACACCCTCTTTTGTATATAAAGATTCAAATGAGATAAATTGTTGTGTTAGAAATTGCAAAAATCTAGATGTGTGCTAGATGTTTGGTCAATAAATCTGACACTTAAGGTGTAATATGAGAAAGCTAAAAATTAATCACACAAATCGAAAGTAAATCTATATATACATTTTTGGATGACTTTTAGCAAATAAATCCTGGAGTTGGAATGTATTTACAATGGAATGCCACTGGTGGGTCGGTTTATTTTAATAACGTTTGACCCGGTTTATTAAATCGGATACTTCCGAAAATTCTGCTTCTAACATTTAATGAAAAAAAATAAACAACTAGGCCCAATATTAGGCCCATCTTAATCACGTTACCTTCTTTTTATTTATTTGGCAAAACCACATTAATTAAATAATCTTAAATCACCATATAAAATCTAAACTTACCAATCTCCAAAATCTCCAAATCTAATCTTATGGGAACCATTTAAAAGAAATTTTTAAATTGACTTGAATTATATAGCTTTTAAATAAAAGTATTATTAAAAAGAAAAATAACTAAATGATGTTTAATTTTACGAGACGGGTAATATGATGGGACGGGTTTGGGTTGATATTTATAAAAGATAGTATACCACGGGTGAAATCCTAAAATTAACAATCAAAATAATCTATCAAACAAATTACATTTTGATTTTTTTAAGAAAATATAGCCCCGCGGTGTACCGCGGGTTAAAATCTAGTTAGACATACATAAAGGAAATGGGAAATTGATAAGTTTTAACAAAAAAAGATTTACTAGTTATTTAAAAAAAAAACAAAAATAACCATTTGTGGCAAATTTGGAAAATTTCATTCAAATAAATTAATATAAAATGATCGTCCCTTCGAATCCACGAAACTTCCCACTCATAACACCTTCTTTTTTAACCGGACCCATCCTCGTACACTTTTGCTGTTCTTTACTTTTACAATATTAATTAACTTATTATATAAATTCGTATTCCTGTCTTTGATCAAACGAAATCATATCATAACTCATAAGATATGTCCTTAACGTGTACGAGTAACATAAACATGCTTAGAAAACTATAACTTCATTTTCATATCTAGCATAAATATATGTCTATTAATAAACTTAAAATTTCATCAAATGTCCTCTCTATATATGCTATGTTTATCTATAATATATCTCCATATTTATTGGAAACAAACAAAATTCTGAGTCGCAGAGCTTGCACGCATGTGTAGACTGCAGTTATAAGAAAATGACAGCTTCTAATCAAAAACCAAATCGAGTTTTTGTGCATGCAGTAAAAGGAGATTCCATTTTATTCAACTTGATAGAGAAATTATAAAAATTCGTAAGAAAATTTCAGCAAGTATAAGGGTTTAGGATTTAGGATTTTAAGAGTTAGGGGTCTTTAATTGCCAAATCAATGATGACACTCAGTGCCGGTCCGGTAAATTTGGGTGCCTTAAGCAAAATTAAAGCCCATAAAAAAAAATTCTTTTAAATTAAATTTTTACCATTAAAAAGAATATTGTAGTTGTCTCTAAAAGCCCACAATATTTTTAAAAAGCCCTACAAAAATTATTGTATATAAGAAACCTTAACAAAATTTTAGATAAAAAGGACCTCAAATTTTGAGGCTCTAATCGGTGGCTTCGGTGGCTTGCCCTCTGCGCCGGCCCTGATGACACTTTCTAGCAACTTAAAGATAGAATTAAATAAATACAATGTGTATGTACTTAATTTTTCCATTTTAAGCTAAGTTTCATTAAGGAAGATAGGGGTCAAGTAGAGCCTAATATCCCATCATTATCTCCTAAAAAAAGCCTTCATTATTTAAAGATTATGCCACCTAATCTAATTCTAAAACTCCCTAATAGATGAACCCTAGTCTATAGGCCTCTCAAACCATTTTGAGTAAAATATAATTTATAAACTCAAGATACTATACTGTGAAATCCTTGCTTTCAAGATATAGTAATAATAAAGTCTAATTAATGTTAGCTTTGACTCCTATGATCCTATCACATGTTATTAAAAACAAAGAAAACGATTAATGAACATTGGTGGAAGATGAAAACAAAAAGAGTATTAGTTACTCCAAATCACTCAAATTAAAGGTAAGTAAGTAGTTAGAAGTCCATAGAGAGAAATCATTTATCAAAAGGGTAAAAGAGAGGTAACAAATAGGCACTTGATTAAGATTCTATACCATTTTCTTTAACTAACTCCTAATTTTCTATAAATGTCAACAACACCATCAATTAGATTCTTCTTGGCATGTTGTCATAATCATTTGATGTGAAATAATTTAAAAAAAGAAACCAAAGTAATCAAGAAGATAATCAAACTTATGAACTCATTTTCAAACGTTGTTAAGTTCAAAAGTGGTTCATATTATTAGTGCAGAAGAAAGTTTGGGTCAAGCTCAAGAACCAATGTTTCTTTATGAAAACCCGGGAGAGTATGAAAGAAATGTTTTGGGGATCCCAAGAAAAGCACACAAAAGAATGACACAGAACTCAAAGAAGAACAATGACAACACAGTCTTTTCTACGAAACATCACTTAAAACAACAGTTACTCTCATACCCCAAATCCCCAAAACCCTCTCATGGCGAAAAGAGAAAAAGAACAGGGTATTCCAAAAGAAGCACAACACTAAAACGACCGAGCACATGCATTATAAGGTTCTCTTCCTGCTTTTCACAATGATTATGACCCGTCCTGGTTTTGGTTTACCTGGTCAAGAGAATTAAACTAAGATGCGTCTCTGCTATATATCATAGATTTGATACTGAAGCAGCCTGTAGAAGAAACGAGGGTACAAAAGCAGACGTCGATTCATAGACCTTACTGTTCATATCTTATAGCATATTTCACTTTTTTCATGTTAATTCCTTCACTATCAAAATCATTTATGGAGTATTCTTGTATAAGCAAAAGATACAAATTTTGTCCTTTAGAAGTAGACCAAAATAGATAAAATCACATAATAATTATTGTATTCCATAAATTATCAAATCTGAAATGAAATGCTGAATATCGATCTATCTAAATTAAATCTAACAAGAAGCAAGAAAATTGAGAAGAAAGTCTTTGTTTAGCTTTTGTTCAAGTAATCAAGTTATAACTAAAAAAATAAAAAGAAAAGTCTTTGTTAATAAATTAAGTCTTCTGTTGTTGTTGTTGTTTGTTTCTTCGTCTAATAGCTGCTCCACTTAGTAAATCTATCATCAAGTCACAAGTATTGCTGTTGTATCCGAGCTCTGTTCTGTTCCCACCACAACCTCGCCTGTGTTTCCCCAAACTTGTCTCGGCTACATAACAAACACCACATAAAAGCCATTTATCATCTTTTGTAACCAACATTGTCTCACTTTTCAGAAAGAGAGAGGTATGTAGTATACCTGAATCGAACGCGTCTAAGCTCGCGATTACCATCTGGTAAAGCTCTGATAGTAATATAGATACCAGGCTCATCTTGTTCTACCCATTCACTTTCCATGTCGCTTGCGTTACTCACTGATACCTCCTCAGATCGATCTACTGAGCTACTTCTAGCAGAACCATCGATTGATGATGTTTCTGTCTTGGTTCCGCTGATGCTAGAGAGCTTTGGTGTTGAAGCAAGACCAGAAGAGCCTGGAATATTGCTGCGAGGTCGCTCTCTTTCCAGAGGTGGAGTTACAGGACTGTCCTTCGCGGACTGTATTTGTGAGACCTGGCACAACAAGGTTTGTTCCAAGCAATCTATTTAGGACCCAAGTACATACATGACTTTGATTATCGAAGTTTAAAGTTGCAACATTGTATAACTATAACCCAAAGAGAGATATAAACCAGAAAACTTTGGTTTTGATAGTCAATTAATAGATTTGAGTGTTCAATAGTGAAATAGTATTACCCCATCTTCAGATACAGGAGGAGTTGGAAGTGGCTCGCTCTGCTGATTGAACTGCTGCACATTGTATAACTCCATGACCTTCTCGAAATTCTCCACCCACCATCTTTGAGCTTGCCATTTATTGAACATCTCACGACTGCAAGAAGTAACGATGTAAAAACAAAACCATCTAGACTCAAATCAACAAAAACTCTTTTCGCTTAGCCAAAAACGGAAACAGGTCTAACGTGTAACACAAAAAAACTAAGCATCCGCACAATACAAAAAACCCCCAAGAGATACCAATTCTGGGGCCAAAATATCCATCCTTGACAGCAACACAACAGAAGCTAGTCTCTGTAATATGAAGCCTGGTGCTTCTTTATTTCAGCAGTTGCATGAAAACCATTGACAACTAAAGATTTGTTAAGCTCAGGGTCATCTGAACTTCAATTGGCTCAGCAGAAATACAAGTGTTCCTAGTACAGTAGTCCCACAAATAATATCCTCAACAATTGTACTACTCATGGGTGTTACAAGAAGAAAAAAAAAACCTTTATTTCCAAATTCAGAACCTAACATGCCATAACAAGATAGTAAAAGCAGATCAATGGGAAAACACACCGCATCTATTCAGTTCAATATCGGCAAGAAACAATTACCTGAACCGAATTCTCTTTAGATCATTCCCTCCTTGAAGCAATGACACAAATGTGATAAGAACACCAGGCTCCACTTGCGCAACCCATTCCTTGGCTTCATCCTCCTCCATGAACACTATGGATTCCGTTCGGCCACTCATGGACGTAGGTGTACCTTCTTCACTAGAAAGCCCTTTTAACCTGGACTCCATATCATTCCCCCAAATCTTTGGAGTTGAGCTTGCAGTCCCGGCTCTCTGGTATGCATAATGAAATCTCCCAGAATCCGAAGCAACATCCGAATCAGCATAGTTTCGATTCTGATTCCGGTTTGATGTCCCAGAACACGGTTTGCAGTTTTTATATGCCCCTGAAGCTTTTACTGCCATGTCTTTTAGCTGAAATGAACAGTAGTCACATACATACAAAAGTCACATGATTTGACAAAAAATACAGATAAGAGAGTACATGACAATTCAGAGGAAATAAATGTTTGAAGAATTAATCATACTCAACCACTAAAAGAAATACAAGATTAAGACTAAGAGTCAAGTCTCTACCAAACCACGAGTCATGCTTTAACATGTTTTTTTTTGGTTCTTAGCTCCCAAACAGAAACCAACAAAACCAAACAATCCATGAAAGTGAGCCAGCAGAAGGATTAATCTACCTGTGACGTCAGTGATTTAATGGCCTGCTTAGTCCTAGGAGTCCCAATGACTCCGTCTTCTTCATCTTCTTCTCGAGTAGATCCGCCATTGTTGGTGTTAAGCTGCTTCGTGCACGCTATACAAGTCAGCATCTCTTCCTCTCTTTCACACTACACGAACCCTAAAAATTCCTGGGATCAAGCCAGAAGAAACCCAAATCACATTTCAAGCAAAACCCAGATCAAATCTAGAAATGAAGAAACTTCCAAACCCAAAATGACAATTCTTGCACTGTGAAGAGGCAAAAAAGACGTACACTTGCAAGAGCTCCGAGATCACATAAACGCAGCGATGAAGAGCTCAAATTGAAATATGACCGTTACGCGAGAGACATAAATTAGGGTACACAGATCTGTAGATCAAACCCATAAATTCGCATTAAACTCTCTCTCTCTCTCTCTCTCTCTCGCTGCTTCAAGCGACAGAGAGAATGAGTGGGAGATGATACTGTATAAAGTATCGATCTTTCTCTCTCTCACTCTCTGTGGAAACTCAAAGCTGAAGAAGAAGATTCTGCGGATTTGGGGAAAAAGTAAAAAAAGCTTTGAGATTTGGGCTTTGGAGTTCGTTGGACACTACAGCAAAACACTGGTCTACCGTGTTTCTTTATTAATCCTCTGTGCCACATGTTCGTTTTCTACATTTGGTTTTTATTTTTCTTTCACATTTTTGATAACAACATTTAGTCTTCTCTTAACGCCAAACACATTAGTCATCTCTCTAATCTCTATGCTTAACTTTATGGTAACAAATAAGAATATATTTTTCCTTAAAATGTGATAAAAGTGTTGAAATGATTGCTCTAAAACGATGAACTATAATGATAGAGCGTGCAACTATAACTAAGCCTTATCATTTTAATTTCTAAAAGCTTTGATTACTATAATATAATATAAATTTTATAAACTTGTTCCCACCTTTTTCTCCTCTTCCTTGAAAGTTTAAACCTTTTGATTAATTATTATGAGTTTTATTAGTACAACTTCACATCATCAAGCAATGCATATCATGGCGAAAAAAAAAAAAAAAAAGCAATGCATATCATGCCTTCTTAAAAAGTTAATCTAGAGATTGCTTTTGTTTATATTTTTAACATAGACTTCCATGCCAACTTCGTTTAAGGTTAGTCGTTGATTTTGTTTCAACTGTTTATGATTCCATGTTTTTTTTTTTTTTTTGATATGGGACTATGTTTTTAGGATTTATATAGACTTCTTTTTTTTTTTTTTTCGCAAAAAAAAAAAAAAAAAAATAGTCCAAATAAGAAATAATTTGAAATATTTCAATGGAGAAATAATTGCTATATTTCGAATAAATTTGTTTGAGATATAATCTCTTTGGGTTATATAAGCCCAAATAAGTTTATAAGAAAAGGCCCAAAAGAATTAATGATACGCTCTTCCGTAGGTGATCACACCCTCACGTCGTAAATACTCAACGATCTGTTCTCAATTTGCTCATTGCAACAAAATCGAAAAAATCAAAATCTCACCTTTGGAGATTTATTGTTGACTCGTTTACCGCGATTCTCTCCTCAATTCGCCGGTAAACCCTAACTCTTGTCGGAAAACCCTAATTCGCCAAGACGGAAATCACCCCACTCGTTTCCTCTTAGCATTGGTTGATTTCAGCTTTGTTGAGGTAAATATCATCTTCTCAGGTTTCTATCTTCAGATTCTGATTTCATTGCCTTCAGCTTTACTTTTTCTGGGAAATTTGTGATTCAAATTTTGAGATTTTGGTGATTGAGTTGGTTGATTTAGGGTTTCCTTTTGGTACTCTTTCTAGTACAAATTCGTTATGTATTGAAAAATTTCAGCTTTGGATTGCAAAACGTTGTCTTGTTGCTTATTTGGTCCCTTTTAATACATTTTCTTAATTTGGTTTTGCGTTTTTCATCAACAGAATATATAAATTTGGACTTTTTTGGTTTGTCATGTTATTTGTTCTTTAGAGCTGTGATTATGATTTTCGTTGTTTGATTTGATGTATGAAGCCTGCGCAAGTTTGTGTCTTTCGTAATAGTGATTCACGTTCAATGTAACCTTTAAACTGCTTGGTCAGGAGATAGAACACCAATCTTCTAGTTTCACGTTTCGTATGCCTACAATCTGGATATTTGTGCTGGAAAATTGGCTAGCAATTTACATGTTATGGGCAGTTTTTGGTTGTTGTTCCCATGGCTCACAATCGGAGTTACTTTATCGTTTCAGAACATTCACGTTACTTCTCTGTATAGGGTTTAGTTGATGAACCCCTAGTAATATGGTTTTATTTAAGTAGATCGATGTATGAAATTGACTGTGACATTCTATCTAAAACAAATATCACAGTTACATCACATTTAGAAATATTAAAAGAAAGTTTTGATGCCAGCATGAATGCGAATTGGAGGCCAGTTTGCATATCAGGCTCATCGTCCCGTGAGACCTGGCAAAATAAAACATGAAATTAAGTGTATTTTATACAGTTATATTTATCATCTTATTGAATATTCGGTTTATCGATAAATTCTTATACTTTTTTCACTTCAACAGGTTAAAGCAACTATGAAGCCTGTTCTTCACTCGGGCTCTTCATCCAATGGATTTTCACACAGAAGAGTTGAAAAAGAGGCTGGGATGAATAACGCACAGCCTTCTGCGGGCACTACAGGTTTTGTATATATATTTATAACATGTATATCTTTATTCTGATGTAGCACCAGCATCATGTTCTTCATTCTCTTGTTTGTTGATATATATGTGAAGAAAACGGTTGGGAAGCTGGAAGTGTGGATACCCCTTCTCACAAGCTGTTGGTGTATTTCACAACTTGTAATATTGGACATCAGGTAGAAGTTCATCTCAAAAATGGATCAGTTTACAGTGGCATATTTCATGCTGCTGATGTGGAGAAGGATTTTGGTAACCTGTTTGTCCCTTTAAGATGTAATATAATACAAGAAGCGGTAACTTTGTTTTTTTATCACTTACAAACTCTTTGAAACTTTCAGGAATTATTTTGAAAATGGCATGTTTAATGAGGGATTCACGAGGAACCAAATCCCGTTCTCCGCTTGTCAGCAAGCCACCTTCAAAGATACTCATTATCCCTGCTGACGAAGTTGTGCAAGTTATAGCTAAGGTGTGTACTCTTTTCTTGCTAATGGGATTGGGTTTTTATGTTCATGTCAGTGCACCAGCATGTTAGAAAGACTTCTTGGTGTTTTGACATTGTTATTCTTTTGCCATTGGTCTCTGTGTTAGGACCTTCCTGTATCCAGCCATAACGGCTCAGATTCTGTTCAGTGCGAGAAGCCTTTAGAGCTGTTGACAGACTCTCTGATATCACAGTTTTATAATGTTGATTTGGAGAGAGAGCTGAAACCTTGGGTACCTGATGAAGATGTTCCAGACTGTTCAGATCTGGAGAATGTGTTTGATGATCCTTGGAAGAGGTAGTGATGCTATTCATTAACGTAGGATATTTACCTTTTTGTTAGGATTTCTATTTTCTGATTTAGAAACTGTTTTCTCTATTTCGTTTCCCTCAGAGTGTTTACTTTTATGATCTAAGTTAGAGAGTGCTTTGGAGGTTGTATCGGGTTAGGCTGAGGCAGACATCATAGTTTTTCGATTTCTGTTCTTGTTACTATGATTCCTTTTTAATAATGAGAGTTTTGATTTTTATTCATGTTCGTGATTTTAACTTCAACAGGTAGCCATATATTTATTGATCCCAGTTCAATTCCTCTTATTGCTTGGTTAAGATGTCAAAGCAGGCTAAGCCGCCCTGCAGTTGGTTAAACCAATACAGGGTTTTGGTGGGGTGGGCCGCTAATGCTTAGATATCCTAACTCACCCGCCATATTATTACAGATTGTTAGAGTAGGCCTGCCGTTTCCAAAGTTTTCAATTTTCTTTATTTTATAATTAATTTTTACACATAATCAAATAGAAATATACTAGAATACATTTAATTTTCAAAATAAATATCATTTTACTTAGTAAATTGAATATAAAAAAGCTGTTACATATATTGATAATTTCATGTGGGTTAGTTTGAGACCTCTGTCTGCAGTGAGCACTTTTCATCATGTACACTTCCTGGGTTGAAGGACACCTCTCAACATATCTTATATGTGATGATATCGTAGGGGCTGGAATCAGTTTGAGGTCAATAAGTCATTATTTGGAGTAACAAGCACTTTTGATGAGGAATTGTATACCACAAAACTTGAGAGAGGTCCTGGAACGAGGGAGCTAGAAGAGCAAGCCTTGAGGATTGCGAGAGAGATTGTGGGTGAGAATACCCGAGATCTTCACGTAGCAGAGGTGAATTACGGATATCTTATGGGACTCTTGAATTTTTACGTTTCATTGTTGTATCATATCTAACTTCTAATGGTTCATGCATGCAATCATCTTACACAGGAAAGAGGGCTCCAGCTTAGTGGAAAGTTTGATATTGATGAGGAAACCAAATACTCATCGGTCTGTACGGCTAATAGATTTGATGATACATGTTATGAAGACGAAGACGAAGAAGAAGACATATTGTTGGATTGCTGCAACAATTTGACATTTGGTGACTCTTCTGCTTCTGATGGCAAGAAACCTGCTTCAACTGGCATGGTCTATGAAGAAACATGGGTATGGTTGAGTTCTTCACTGGTAGTAGTTTCTAGGAGAATCATCGGTGATATTGCCATTTTTTGTCCTTCAGGGTGACAGCCTGCATTTACGGAATAACAAAATTGTAGACCAGAGCTGGTCGAACTCAAATAAGCATTCGCACCAGCTTATGTCCGAACAGCCATCCAAAGATTTTCCTGTTGCAGGAAACAAAATCAGGTCTTTTCCTTGGAATATACATTTTTTGTTCAAAATATCTTTCATTTAACGTTATGTTTCTGAAACTCATTCTGATAGGAATGAGAGCCAGCTTGGTGAGCAAAGAAAGAGCAAATTCCTAGGGTCTTCCCTTTATAAAAAGGTAAAAAAGCTAAACTACGCATCTAGTCTTGATTGCATTTGCATAATGGAACATTACATATAACTTTGTTCTACTGGCTTCAATCTGTAACACAGCCATCTGAGGAATCAGTGTCTGGTCTTGAAGGTATGTGTAACTTCAGCTTATCGTATCTATCTACTCCTGTTTCATCTTAAATGTTGATACCAATTGAATTTCCAACTATGTATTTAATTGCTACCTCAATGAAGATGCACCACCATCTGAGAAGCCAAGTTTCACTGATGGAAGAGTCGGTCTACTCTCTGACAGAGCGAAATCTGAGAGCTCTTCTGGGTGGCCTGGAAGCTCCATTTCTAGAAATTCAGAAAACTATGCAGCTTCCTCAGCATCAAATCGTCCAATACTATCACCAAGCTCTTCAATTGGTTCTTTATCATCAGAAAAATCCACACTCAACCCAAATGCGAAGGTTTTTTCGCGGTGCTTAGGTTTATCATCTAATTTCTCCTTAATACTGTAAGCTTTTACTAACGGGCTTTAGGTCTGATCAGGAATTTAAACTGAACCCCAACGCAAAGAGTTTCAAACCATCTTCTCCATCAGCTAAAAGTCCTCAATCTCCAGTCCCAGACGGATCATTCTATTATCCTCCTGTTCCACCCATGCCAGGACTACGTATTCGATACGGAGTAACTTTTCTTTATTCTTAATCTAATGATCTAAATCAAGCTTTAATATCTGTTAAGCTATGTTTCTGATTCACAAAGTTGAAAATTGACAGATGGGAGGAGCATTCCCTGGACAGCAACACCCAATGATGTATAATAACACAACACAGCTTAGTCCAAATCAAACATATTATTCTCCAAATAGTCCACAGGTTTGCTTATAAGAGCCATGACGTTAAAACTCTTAACCCATTCTCTCTATTGAAAGACTGAAATGTGGAATCAATGTTAACAGTACCCACAACAGATGATGATTACTCAACAGAGACCGGTCTTGTTCATGCCGCCAACGCCATATCAACCGGTTACTACTTTCCTCATAATTCTTGCTTTGTCTTTTTACAAAAAAAATTGCTCAAAAGAGTTAGATTTTGCTGACAACCTTTGATTTTATGGCAGGAGATGCCATACAATGGAAGAGACTCTTATTAGCTTTTGGCCAAAACCATGACTGGTGGTGGCTGGCACAAGGGAAGGTCTCGAATATTCTGATGGAATTGGTTTCATTTAATTTACTTTATTTTATTTATTTCAAGCACCGAATCTTTTCATTTTTATTTAATTATTTTTAGTTTATAAAATGATGAATGGTGTGATGGTCCTTGTGAGAAAAATTGAACACAATTTGATGTGATGGTGATCTAGTTTGTTTAGGTATTAGACTAGATTTTACATTAGATTCTTGCTGATCTCATTTCTTTATTCACTTGTGTCTCTCCATTCAAACTTTTAACGTTAAATCTTTACATGTATGCGTTGTGTTATTTTTTAATATATATACAATAAAGCAGGTTAGGTAGGAAAAAATACATTTTCTTTTAGGGTGATTTGCAAAAGTGACGCTTTTGGAAGATAGGATTAAAATATATAGCACTATAATTGGGAAAATTAAGCAAGTAACAGATGAGGGTGGGGAAATGTCGTCAAACTCCCTCTTAGACGAATCAGCAAGTAGACACGCGCGTGGAAAGATAGTAGAAGTGAATGACGTGGCTTGTGTTTGAAACAACAATTTTACTCCTATATGTGGTTATAGATAAAATAGTATAGAAAATAGTATGTAACCTGTTTCATCTAAACTCCACCGAAATTGTAGACTAACTATAATTTATGTGCTAACACTGAGTACAAGGTTGTGATGATACCCACATCGAAAAAAATCAATGGAGTATACGTGATACTTAAAGGAACAAATCGATTATTGTCGTCGGCCGTGAGTTTGATGACCATCGTAAACCCTTAATCACTTTTAGATCTAAGAAATCCATAACTAGATCTTCAATTTACTAGTTCCGATTTTATTCCCATGGATCTAAGAAATTAAAAATTCTCAGATTAACTTTGGTGGGAAAGTGAAGATTAATCGGACAGAATTTGACGAAAGGATTTCACCTGAGTTTGCTAGCATTCTCCCGAAGACGGAGGATAAAAGAAGTCGGAGTTAGGGACGAAGGTTGTTGCGTTGATGGTTGGGTTTGTGGCTAATGGTTTTGTACTTTTGTTATATAATAGAGTGAGTCAGGTCTCGGTGATCCAATCCATAGTTTGATAGTTTTGATTTTTGTTATATAATAGAGTGAGTCAGATTTCGCAGGAAATGAGAGATGAAAGGAGCACAGTTCACAAAAGGGGAGAAGATGAACAAGAGCGTGCACTTAACACAGAGGGTAAACAAGTCTTTATTACATAAAATATAGAGAATATCTCCTCTCTTTTTTTGGAGTGCTAGTTTCTTAATTAATAAATTTTTTTTGGTTAGAGCATATGCAAGGGGAAACACTTGGTGTGTTCTTAAGGGTTTTAAAATAATAAAAATGTTGAATAGTGGATACAACTGTTCTTAAAATTATAAAAACTGTTCTTCAGGAAGAACAGTTTGCAGGATAAGTTAGAACTGTTCTACCACTGTTCACCTTATTTCCTATTTTTAAATCCTAAGAACACATTCAAAAGTTCCCCCTTGCATATGGTCTTATAGAGTCAAATTTTCCTTTCTTTTAAGTTAAATACTCACTCCGTTTCATAATATAAGTCGTTTTAGCTTTAAACACGCAGATTAAGAAGATCTACTTTTAAAAAGTTCAGCCAATCATAAAAGAGACTGCATAATATAAATAATTATAAAGTATTAAAGTAATATATAAAGTGCATAAAAACTTGAAAACGACTTATATTATGAAACAAAATTTTTTCTTCAAAACGACTTATATTATGAAACGGAGGAAGTATAACTAAAAGAAAAATTAACGACTGTAGTTAAATCTTACATACACGTGTTAAGACATGGTAGGGAAAAAGTAGATTGTCTATGATTGGATTTGAAAGCGTGCTGTTTAAAATGGATTTATTAGACTAATAATGGGTTTAGTCTTGTTTTGTCTTATTATGCGTATTAAAAAAAAAAAGTCATTTACTTAATCTTATTGCGGTGAGTTAAGGATCGAGGTTAGGGGAGATTCGAAATATTAATTAGTAAGTCTATAAACGTAGGAAATCAAAATAATTGATTTCTAAGAACTTCTAGATTCTGTTGATGATATAATAATAATATTTGAAGTAACACCTGTAACCTCCCTCTTTCGAAGCATGATAGTTACGCATTTCTTTTCTCTAAAGCAAATAAGTGTACGTAGCAAACAAAATTATATCTTCCCCACAATACAAAGTCTCATTTTACTTCAATATAGTAAAAAAGAGTCGTTTTATTGAACTAACAAAAGTTATCCAACAAATAGAAATGTTGCTATATTAATTTAATTCTTTCTTTTCTACTATATTTTGAGTGTTTTTTTGTCTTCCTTATAATTACTATTCAGAGTTGTGGATTAAATGCAGAGAGATACTGCAGAAATTACGATTCATTGCTTTGTGTTGGGGATGCTGCATCAAGAAATGTGAAAAAGGGCGATTACCAAAAAAAAAGAAATGTGAAAAAGGGCTCTTTCGCTTTGCTTGACTTGCAATAAATATCAATTACCCCAACTACAAACAAATATTTAGTTTATTCGCTTAAATGCAAATATTGATTGCGCTATAAAGAGATGTTGACAACCTTCCACTTCAACTTTTGCTTTTAAAAAAAAAAAAACAGATGTTCTTAAACAAAACAAACAAAATAAAAGACAGAAAAGAAAAAGTACGTTTAGATAATACCTAAAATGTTTAAGAATTCTGCACATTTTTTTTATAAAACAATGTTGGAATAGGATACTTAAAACACCCTCTATATTTTATTTTAAAACTTTGAACCTTGTAATATATATACTGAAAAGAATCGCATATGAATTGATAAACTCTCTCTCTGTTTTATTTTATAAGTATGTTTGTTGCTTAAGATTTCTGCATAGACATTAAGAAATTATTGAATTTTCTGTTTTTCTATTTTAAACTATATTTATTTATCTATTTAAAAACAATCTACCAATGAAAAAACAAACTACAGAATTTTAAGAGTCAAAAACAATAAAATAATAATAAACTTTACATTAAAATTTGAAAACAACAAAGAAAATGAAATTTTGTTTGTTTGTTTTAACAACACTTATTATTATTAAGAAACAGAGGAAATATATGAAACAAAAATAAAGGTGTTTAAACATCTTTGAAATAGATGAAAATTCTCTATACAAACTACACAACAAATATGGAGTAGAGTAGTAGCTGCTATGTGATGGATGAAATATTTAAGATATAATGTATTTTTATATTGGATATCACAGTTTTAAATCTTCAAATATAGTTTTACTGGCATTATCAGAAGTATGACATTTTGTTTTCAAAAAGACCACAAAATATTTTAAAAGATCGACTTTATTTATATACTTCAAAAATATTAACTATTTATTTGGTATTTCCTTTTCTTCAATTTTTTCTTCCTAATATTTTAATATTATTTATATATTTAGATATATTTTTAGCCTTGTCTAAAAATTATACACGCATCACATTTCAATTCATATCTATCTTTATTATATTATTTTTTCAATTGTTGCCTACATATTTCTATATAATATTTTTTAATAAAACTAAACATGCGTCACGATTTGACAATTATATGACACTATGTGACACGATTTGATTCGATATATTTAATTTTGAAACATAAACAATATAATTAAGATAAGAAAAATACCACAAATAGAAATGTCAAAATCTGCAAAAAAAATTTAGAAATGGAAACAACAACTATATTAAAAGGAACTACTAAGTACTAACTAAATAATTGGTGTGTGAATAAATATGCATTTGTTGAGAGAAGAAAAAACATAATAAAGGAAAAAAAAAAGTGAAAAGGAGTCAAGATTAGTCTTTTAAGCCATAGCCAATACCCAATTTGCAGAGACAGAGGAAGAGAGAGGAACGAAAGAAACAACCATGTTCTGAGGAAGGAGACATGCATCATCATCATCATCATCATCAAGCATCATAATCTTATTACTTAACTTCTCTTTCTCTCCATCTTTTACCAAATCCAAAACACCAAAGGTCTCTCTCTCTTCTTGCTCGCTTAATTTATTTGGTAGTGTGTTATGATTTGGTTGCTCAGTTTTTACTTCTGATGATGTAATGAAATAGTTCAATTTTTTGAGTTATGAGAATTTTTTTTTTTTTTTTTTGCTTTCTCTGTTTGCTTGGATCAGTAAGTTCAAAGAGATTTGATGAGCTATTTTTTCTGGTAAAACCCAGAAATGTAATCTTATGCAAAAGCTTTTGTGTTTGCATGTTGTGTAAGTTATAGCCATGTTCAAAGTTTGAATCTTTAGAACGCTTTAGATCATTTGACCAATCTTACTGTGTAATTGAAATTGGAATCTGTGTTTTAGGATGGTTTTTATAATCCTTTTTGGTATCATTTCTCTCTTGGATTTGTTGATTTTGTGGATCATGAACAAAATGTTGATGTAATGTTAATATTGATTCATGATTGGACTTGTTGGTTTGGACATTTAGTTTATTGAAGTAAAGATTTGAAGACAATGCAAGTGTTTCAAAGGAAAGAATCATCTTGGGGAAACTCAATAATACCAACAAATTCAAATATTCAAGGATCTGAATCTTTTAGCTTGACAAAGGATATGATGATGTCTACAACACAATTCCCCGGGACGAAACATTCGGGTTTGCAGCTGCAAGATCAAGATTCAACCTCATCACAATCTACTGAAGAATCAGGCGGCGGGGAAGTTGCAAGCTTTGAAGAACATAACCGTTATGGATGCAGCATTGTTAATACCAATCTCTCAGGTTAAACGAATAAACTGATTTGAACATTAGTCGAATTACCGAAAACCTTCTTAATTTTGTGCGTTTCTTCTTGTCTTTGGTTGATGCAGGTTACATCGAAAACCCGGGAAAGCCTATTGAAAATTATACTAAGTCAACTACTACCTCGTCGATGGTGTCTCAAGATTCTGTGTTTCCTGCTCCTACTTCTGGTCAAATATCTTGGTCTCTTCAATGTGCTGAAACATCACATTTCAATGGTTTCTTGGCTCCTGAATATGCATCAGCACCAACGGTAATATACTGTGAAGCCTTGTGCTTTCACAATTCTGAATCGATGTGGCGCATTGATTGGTTGATTTGGAAATCATTTTGCAGGTGCTGCCACATTTAGAGATGATGGGTTTGGTTTCTTCAAGAGTGCCATTGCCTCATAACATTCAAGAGAATGAACCAATATTTGTCAATGCAAAACAGTATCATGCGATTCTCCGTCGCAGGAAGCACCGTGCTAAACTCGAAGCTCAGAACAAACTCATCAAATGCCGTAAAGTATGAATCTTTTCACTTTCCCATTTTGCCTAAAACACCAAAGAGAGAGGGAACAATAACTCAGAAGACCTTGATGATTTGATGCAATTCAGGACTGAGTAACAAAGTTTTTTTTTTTTTTTTTCTATAGCCGTACCTTCATGAGTCTCGCCATCTTCATGCTTTAAAGAGAGCTAGAGGCTCCGGTGGACGTTTCCTCAATACAAAGAAGCTTCAAGAATCAGCAAACTCACTGTGTTCTTCTCAAATGGCAAATGGACAGAATTTCTCTATGAGCTCTCGCGGTGGTGGAAGCGGACTCGGGTCTAGTTCGATCACACCGAGCTCCAATTCGAACCGTATCAACATGTTCCAAAACCCGCAGTTCAGATTCTCAGGTTATCCGTCAACACACCATGCGTCAGCTCTCATGTCAGGGACTTGAGGCACCTGAGAAGGATCTTGCTCTGGGAGAACTGCGGCGACTGGTGATGATATATGACGGAAAGTCATCCTTGGCTACTTTTGGTTATCGGTTATTTACAAAATTTCTTCCTTTAAAACTTTGCTTTCATATCCTCTGCAATCTCTCACTCTATATAGAGTGGCTTGAAGAACTTTCAAATCATTGTCAAACTATTTTGTTAATTAAAACTTTCCGATTCTCTGAGAGTACAAATTGCATTACCCTATTACATACAATGAGAGAAGATTCAGAGTCATTAAGAGTAATATACACGCATAGATCCCCTAATACTCTGGAGACAAACTGGACACTTAGGGTTTAACTCTCGTTCTACGGTTGAAGCACATACCCTGCAACATACTACATGTCCACAGGGAATAAACGCAGGTACTCTCCTTCTTGTCACGCAGATCACACACAATTCTCCATCTGGGATTTCATCTGCATCTTCGGGTTCATCATCGACCACAGGTTCGTTTGGTCTCTGTGGCAGGTCTCTCTGATGGTTCCATTGTTTCCATTTATTCCAGGTCCTGAAGATACGAAAGTTAAACAGATTTCAAATCAAAACGTTGCCCAAATCTAAAATTAAATCTGATATCTCACAACTCCAGTACCTGACAGCAGCATAGCTAAGGATGCCAACAGACACAATGCCCAAGATAACACTGCCAAAGAATATAAAGCTGGTCTGATCCATGAGTTCCTCAATCATTTTGTCCTTGGTCATCTCTGATCTGCAAAGATTAGTCAAAAATATTTACATATGAACAGCAATAAAGCCTTTTTGCAACAATGGACTAAGTATTGTCAAATGATCAACATATTGAGAAAACAAAAAGAAGAAGATGAAGTAGTAATTTGAGCTAGAATGCAGGCAGATATATAAGTTCGAAAACTATTCAGATAAAATCTCACAAGAAATAAGGAAGATCTTGGCACGATTTGATTTCAGGAACTCCATTATTAAAACTGCAGATGCCAACAGCTGTTATATCTTTCCCAGGAGGTAAAATCTTCTCTATATCAAGCAGACCGACCTTGGAAGAGAAAGTATTACAAAAATTAGTATGGAAATGGCCAAGAAAAAGTAACCATCAGTAGTCCTCAAAAACAGAAATTTCTTTGAATACACATAATACTCACAGGATAATCAGGGAACAAAAAGGCTTGAAGAAACGAAGAATTAATAGGCTGCAAGCGATTATACACAGTGGTAAGCGGAAGAGGTTGCCTTGAACCATCCATGTTAACATCGAGAAAAGTAGACTGCGATTGTTGATCCTTTCCAACAATGACAAATGGGACCTGCACAAAGCCAAGTTTGATCATGGATAGAGAGCCAAAGTTGATTCCTCTGAAGCTGATAAAGCGCAAAGGGAGGCAGAGTTTACCGTTCTCATAAAATCAGCTCCGTGTTTGCGCATTGATCTCTCCAACATAAACCGGTGACCAGTTGACTGGAACAATCTCTTCCATCCACTATACACATACTGTGAACAACAAAAATGATGACATTAGATACATACATTTCCCTTCTGAGATCACAGCAGCACCAAATATTACATAATGCTAACTTAATCAATCACAACGAAAACCTAACCATGAAGAAATCATTCAACATAAATCAAAATTAGGTCAATGTCAATTGCAATTTGAGAGAAACTTAAACACTTAAGTGTTTAGGCCAACGTACAGTTTGCGTTCTCTGGATGATAAGAGCTTTATCTCCAGTCTCCGGAGAGATTAACACGTTGTTGTTCTTGTGACTCTCATCTCCGGAATATTTTGGTTTCACGACTCCGCGAACCACAACGATTTTCCCATGATCGTTAGTCTCAGATTTGTCTTCAGAAACTGGAAGCAGTGATCGGAGGTCGGCAACGGAGACTTCGGGTGCTTCTTTGATCTTGTTCAACGCCGCGTTGGTAGAGGCATACTTGAGAGCAGAACCGACGGCGCTAATAGCTAGGGTCAGTCCGAGGATTGCGCCGTCGAAGGAGAGAGCGATGTCCGTCAATAGATTCAAGAGAGCACGCTCCGGCGAGGACATAGTGGTAATTTCCAATTTCAACGTTGTAGACACGGACAAGCGAAGAGAAGAGAGACGAGGCTATTATCGGTATTAAAAAATATACATTCGACCGTCGTTCTAATTTGGGTCTTTAATGGGCCTATGCACGAGTGAAATACTAAACGCAATAAATAAATACTAGCATTTACATAATTTCTAGTTTTACCCTCAATGTTATAGCAGATTTACAAACAAAACCATGAATATCAGATCTAGAGTGAGAGAGAGAGATTAGTTTTTCCGATTCCTCGCCGCCGTTCATCAATCTCTCCGTCGTGTTTCTGCCATCACCTCTCCACCAAAATTTCTCTCTCGCGTTAGGTATTTATCGCCTCTTTATGGCTTGTAATCTTGTGTTTTGGAACTTGTTGATAATTCTAGGTTAGAATCTCCTTTGTCTTTCTTATCTCTGATTCGTGAAGCTCTAATTCTTATTTATTCGATTTATGTTAATTTGTTACTGTTGCAAGTTCTTATGACTTGTGTATTTTGGAACATCAAATCTGTGTTAAGAAAGGTTCTTATGACTCTGTAGCTTTACTTTTTTTGAGTTTGTTTAGGGATAAAAATGGCTGGAGAAGGTGAAGAAGATGTACCTAGAGATGCTAAGACTGTGAAATCTTTGCTTAAGTCGATGGGTGTAGAAGACTACGAGCCTCGTGTGATACACCAGTTTCTGGAGTTATGGTACCGGTATGTGGTCGAAGTCTTGACAGATGCTCAGGTTTACTCAGAGCATGCTAGCAAATCCAACATTGACTGCGATGATGTCAAGCTCGCTATTCAATCCAAAGTTAATTTCAGCTTCTCACAGCCACCTCCAAGAGAGGTATGCATTGTTGACGATTCCTTGTTTCACGATATGATTTGGTAGTTGCTATGTGAATCATTAGGGATTTATCACTCTTAGTTATGACTTGTGAACTGTGACCCTCTCGCCACATAAGTTGCATTGCTGAGAACTTTAAATGTTTTCATTTTTCAAATTCATGCCGTTTGGTTCCTGAATCTTGAAGTTTATGTTTTTGATGTTTGGTTTAGGTTCTATTAGAGCTTGCTGCAAGCAGGAACAAGATCCCTCTGCCAAAATCGATAGCAGGACCTGGTGTTCCACTCCCACCTGAACAGGACACATTGCTGAGCCCAAATTACCAGCTCGTGATACCGAAGAAGTCAGTTTCCACAGAACCTGAAGAAACCGAGGACGATGAAGAAATGACAGATCCTGGGCAGTCCTCTCAAGAACAACAGCAGCAACAACAAGCATCAGACCTTCCAAGCCAAACTCCTCAAAGGGTCTCTTTTCCACTCTCTAGACGACCCAAATAAGTAGATAGGCAAAAAGAAAAACTATTAATGTTATGTATCAACAAGTAGAATGTAACAGAATCAAATATCAATGACCAAAGTCAGTTATTATGGACCATATGTTGTGTCAAGAAGCAAGTAGAATGTAAGAGAATCAAATATTATTGACCAGAGTCAGTTTTTGTGGAACATATGAGCATGCATATATATATACACCGTTGTGTGGGAATCAACAATACCAAAGGTACAACAAATCTTCTGAAGCATTACTATATATGCAACTATAATATATATACATGAACAAAGAGAATCTGTTAGCTTCCCCAGCCAACCATGGTACCCGCAGCTGCACTGTGAGAGCGTGAAAACGCAAGCCCTCGATCATACATTCGTTGAATCTCTTCTCTGTATTCAGTCAGAGACTTGTCAGGTATAGCTGGAGTCAGCTCCACCACATCTCCCATCTTAAGCTTGCATTTCAGATCATTTACAGGTGTCTGGTTTAGTCTTGGCCTTAGCTCTTCCTTTGCCGGGATGCTGTACATTGACCATCTCGAGCTCCCTGGTCCTGCTCTGCTTAACAGGTCCAAGACTGTGGAATTCGCGGGAAACTCTTGCACAGTCATCTGCATTTTCAGGTTTATCAATTATAACTCCAAGCAAAGAAACATCCTCAATGGGAAGAATTTGAAGGAGATTTATAATAACTAACCTTCTCATTTTCGATTACAATGACATAGACTGGTCCTTCTTGGTTACCATTAGGCTTATATGAAAACGGACAGTCTTCAGCGTGAGACGGGAAACTGCATAAAGGCTCGGAAGAGCAGATTGAGGATCTATCTTTGCTCATGGTTTCGAAATGCCAGGTCACGACCCATCTTGCCCATTCAACCATCTGAAGCACAAATGATGAATGCTTGCAGTCACCTTCCTTGTATCTCCAGTGAGCTGCAAACCCAAATTCAGCTTGCAAATGCATCTCCTTTGTTCGTATTTGTACTTCAAGCGGAATAGTTCCATCACCCATTACTACAGTATGTAAAGATTGGTACCTAAAATTCCAAAAGCCCAAAGTTAGATAATAATTATAGAAAGAAGAAGCATGCATCATCTTAAGCTACAACAGGTTTGCAGAACCCACCCGTTGAACTTGGGATGAGAAATGTAATCTTTCAGCTTTCCAGGAACTTCAGACCATAGCTTGTGAACTACTCCTAAGGCCTTGTAACAATCTTTCTCATTGTCAACAATCAAACGTAAGCCATGAATATCATGGATTTCATCCATGGTTAGCTTTTTCCTGACATAAAATGAAGTGTCAGTATTCCGGTTCTCTCCACTATTTTAGTGAAACCGATAAACCGATAAGCACTTTCGAATAAAGAGGAAGCGAGAACTTACTTCAACATCTTGCAGTAGATACTATACAAGCTCTTGTGTCGTCCAGATAGAACATGGTAAGAAATGCCTTCTTTCTTAAGCGCTTGCTCCAATTTCCCAATCGCGGAAGTAATCATAGCTTCATTGAATGAATCCTCAAGCATATCAGACATCTCATGGTGCTGATCAGGATAGAGATGCTTGAAACACATATTTTCAAGCTCAACTTTCCAGCTAGAGATTCCCAAACGATTAGCCAAAGGCGCAAATATCTCGAGAGTCTCTTTAGCAAACCTTTGCTGCTTCACTGGTGGCAAAGCATAGAGAGTCATCATGTTGTGTAACCGATCAGCTAACTTTATAAGAACAGCTCTCGCATCTGCCATTGCAAGAAACATAGTGTGCAAACGATCTGCTTCAACGGTTTTACAAGCCGTATTGTTTTCCCGAGCAAGTTTACTTAATTGGCTAAGCTTAGACACCTAATGCAATAAGAAGACAGAACTCAATCAAATCCTCAAGTCTCAACCATTAAACATGCTTTAGCTCAAACACAATCATTGATGTTTCTTTACTTACCCCTTCCACAAGATCAGCAACTCCTGATCCAAAAGTTCTGAGAATATAATCATAGCTCATAAACGAATCGTCTAAAGTATCATGTAAAATTCCAGCTACAACAACAGTCGAATTAGCTCCAATGTCAGCTAACAACATCGCAGTCTCAACACAATGTTGCAGGTAAGGATCACCATTTGCTCTCATCTGATACAAATACATCAATTAGTAAATCAAAACCAAAATTATCGATTATTTTTTGAGATATAGTTCTTCTTGTTTCACACACCTGTCCTCTATGAGCTTTCTCAGCTTCGTAAAATGCTTTGATCACAGATTCATCTTCGAAGATTTTATGTTTCAATTGAGCACGCCTAAGCAAATCCCTAGCATATGGTTGTTTTCTTTCTCCTTCGAAACCATCGTCCATGGTAAACGGCAGCTGCTCATCGACAAGAACAGAGTCTGTATCGTAATCAACACATGAACCTATCGCTTTCCTGACGAAACCATTGAACAATCTGCTAGATCCTACACGAAGAGAAGATCCACCATCGAAGTTCCGATCGCGTGAAATCCTCATCGGAGGACTGTTACCAGATGAAATTGGACCGTGAAGCACCGAGACAGGGCTTTGGTGATCTCGTTTAAGGTATGAAGAACCGATGAATTTGCTCGGAGAATAACAAAAGGAGCCGCTTAAAGTTCGATCCTCGCTTCGATCATGGCGTATTGAAGCTAATTCCTCTCCTACCGTTGGATGCGATGAGGAAGAAGACGACGATGATTTGACGGATGCGCCGGAGAAAAGCAAAGAGAGACCTCCGATAGTCGGAGAATTCGTCGAAGAAGACGCCGATGAAGTTCTAGAGTTCAGATCGAGATCACAAGAGACATGAGCGTTGATCTGGTGAGCTGTGGAACATACAGTGCTCGCTGGACTCGCGTAAAGCGCTATGGTCGTTGCTACCACCATTGAAACTCAAATCAAAATGAAACCTTAAAGAATTTTCTGATTTTTGAAATTCTGGAATTGAATCCAAAGCTTCGTCAATTTTTCAGAGAAACAACGAATTTTCCTTAGAAAAAACAAACAGATCTATGAACGAATCGATCTCTAAGTATATATACAATTTCTAACACGAAATTGAAAGGGGAAAATCTAAATAAATCACAGAAAACGAATAGATTGTGAGAGAGAAATTGAAATTTTTCTTCTTCTTCTTCTTCTACTTTAGAAATAAATCGGAAGAAACTAGAAAGACACCAATCTATCCTTGGTGGTGGTGTTCTTATTCGCCCGTTAAATCCAGCAATCGAGGCGAAACTGAGCAACGCAAATTACGTAATTACCCTTTTTGTTTAACCAGAGGTTACTACTGACTTAACTAAAATGACGATTATTTTGTTATTAATGTCGTTATCCATTTGTGATTATGAAACTATAAATAACTATTTTTTGGTTCGTTGTTAGAATCACACTAATCTAATTTTTCGAATTTAAAATTTGATTACAGTTTTTGCGCGAGTTAACTTCGTGTGATTATTCTCTCGAAATATTTTTAATTGCGCATTTTTCAAAAATAATATCTACTTCCTCTGTTCCTAGATATTTGATATTCTAGAGTTTTAGTTTGTTTCCCAAAGTTTGATTTTTAGGTTTTTGTTTTATTTTTTATTGATTAAAATTAATATATCGTAAATTTAAAACGTAATGATTAACTGTTTTCTTATACTATTGGTTCAAAGTTATTAAAAAATATTTAGTATAAAAAAATAATTGACAAATAATTAAACAATGATTGCTTTTTAATATATGTGAAAATTCCATAATCTTTTAGGAAAGAAGGAGTACAATATATTTGGAAAAATCAGCAAATGGTCGGAAGTGGGATCCACCGTATGATTCTAATGTTTTTTGTCTGGTTAGGATTTTTTTGATTCAATGAATCTATTTGCGGATGAGGAATCCCTATTTTTTTTCTTTTTCTCATTTGGAAAAAACAATGTTACAAATTCTTACGTCCTTTGATAAAGGAAATTCCTCAAAATAACATTTTTTGGTGTAACCCTTGTTTAAAAAATCGCTAGGCGTTAGTCGGGCGCTCGGCATGGGCCTAGCGATTAATCGGAAAATCGGATTAAAATTGGGGATTAATCGAGGATTAGTTTTAGGGTTATTTTAATATTTTTAAAACATATTAATCTAATATTATTTTCAAAATTGCAGTAAACACATAAAAATGTATTTTTGAGACAAATTTTTATGATTTTTATTTCAAATTTATGATTTTTATTAAAATTTGAACATAAGTTATTGTAAAACATTACAAACTCCCAATTCAAATGATTGAATAACAAAAATAAAAAGTTTTTTTATACTAGTAATCTAAAATAATCGGGGTATGTAAGATTAGGCAGAAAATAATCGGATTATGCGGGAAGTAATTGGATTAGGCGGAGAGTAATCGGGTGACTGATTTCTTTAAGGGATTAGTCATTAATCGAGGCGGATAGGGTGGGCCTAGCGATTAAGCGGGGAGTAATCGGGTCTAGGCGGGGATTTTTAGAACAGGGGGTGTAACAGTAACAGAGATGAAGAAAATTGAAGAATTCTCAAAAACTTAACATAAAATGTGAATTTGTTTTGCTATATGTAGAAAGTTATACAATAATTAAGTTTGTAAAACGAAATTATTAATTTTATTGTCAAATTTATGGCATGATAATTACGCAACGACAATATAGACTTTTCAGTAATTCAGCTTCTAGGGCCCTAAGTTACTACTACTAGTAATTTGCCAACTTTTATTTCTTCACGAATTCTTTCATTTTTGATAAGGACACCGACGAACTCTCGAAGAAGAACCATCACTTGCAGAAAAAAACATTTGCCACGTGGCTTAAGAGGACGGAGCTAAACAAGACACGTGTCTTAATTGGTGACCAAGTTTTACATTGATGTGCCAGGTCAGCATCTAGGCTCAAGGCTCCGCCTCCGTGACTTGTGGGAATCGTTTGCCCTATAAATCAACGGTCTTGTTTGAGTCTTGCCATCAAATCACAGCCGTTAAAACTAATCACGACAATATACTGTTCTTACTTCTTAACCGATCTCAAGTCAAAAATATCAACACCTGTTTCTGTATTTGACTTCCGATGGAAAGCAACAAAAAA